AACTCCAGTCCTCAGTCCCGCTACGTCCTTGGTCGCACGAAGTCACGACGATGTCCACGAGCGAATCTAAGCCCTCGTCAATGCGGTCCAGACTTTTTGACTTCAGTTTTTTTGAAGCTAGTGATGGATTTACCAGTTCTTCTTTTCTCGCGCCAGAGTAATTTGTCTCTGACGATGATAATGATTTGTAGTGCTTTTGTTCTGGAGTTACTTCTTGTGAATTTGTGAAATCTGACACGTAAAATAAACCGTCGAAACTCCCGCATCTTTGTCTTGAAATCGGTCTCCTACCATCCGAATTTTCATCCTTCAACCGTACTTTCTTTCTGTCTGAAGAATCCTCCTTTGACTTCAGCCTTCTACTCCCTGAAACTTCATCTTTCGATATCAGTTGATTATTGTCAGAAATTTCATCTTTCGATACCGGCCTCCAGTCATCCGTCACCTCTTCCTTTGTCCTCTGTTGAGAATCCTGTTGTCGGCTGCTTTTGGCTTTGTCATATCCTTCCTGATTATTGACGTGATGGAAGGACTCGTTGCGTTTAATAACGACAGTAGTCGTGGAATTTTTATTGATCCTGCATTTAAGATTCTGGATCTTGATCTTGTCATCATGATTTTTCATATTATTGTCCTTATCACTGTGAGTGCCGGTCTTGTATCTATATTCATCATTTTCACAGGGATGCTGGAAGACCTGGACCATATGATTACTACTCCTGCTTCCCGTACTGGTATCGATAATGCACGCCCTCTGAAGGCACGTGCTTCCAGTAGTCGTTGAAGTGACACTTCTTTCTCTGGCAGAACTCAGCAGCGAATCTGAGTCTTCTTCACTCGTGTGGCTGGGAGTTTCGTCATCAAAGAAAGGATTCTGTCCGGTTCTGTCATCGACATAGACGTCGCGTCCTGAATTCAAAAGCAGATGAACGAGACTTCGAGCTCTTCTCGGTGGCTGTGGCAGAAGACACGTTGGTACAATCTCGACTTCCGTCTCTGATGCCGGATGATGAATCTCGATAGACGTCACCTGCCTACCCTGTTTTCCGGAAGAGAATTTCTTCGAATCGGTTTGATGATTATGATGATACGGTGATACTTTATGGTGATGTTTGTTCTTACCCGTTTCTGTGTCTGTCTTATTCGACTTCTTCTTTATTTCATCTCGTTTATCTTCAAGTTCCCTTTGCTTCTTTTCAGCAGCCTCTGCTGCATACGCTTCTGTTTCTGCGTCATTTATAATGTTTCGTAATTCTTCTATAACTTCGTCAATCGTTGTTTCATCTTCGTCATCACCACCTTCTGACGCATCATCATCTAACTGATCCACACTCGTTTCCTTCATAACAACCTCGTTATTTACGTTCTTCCGCAGTCTGTTTCTCTCGACGAGGATCGTGTCATTCTGGACAGCAAACAGTTCGTACACCATTGGCTCTCGTTCGATGTCACCAGAGTCCTCCTCGTCTTGAGACAGAGACTGATCTTGGTCTGAAGAACTGATGCCTTCATCCTCAGCTGGAGTAGAACCAGATCCTTGTTTGGAAGAGTCTGTCGCATTGTTTTTGCTGTCAGAGTGATGTCGTTTCGATGACTGGGTTGTACGAAGAGTGGCGACCTCCTCCTCCAGCTCACAGCACCTTTCCTTCAGACACTTTTCCAAAGACAGCAAAATGCTTTTCTCTTCTTGCAGAATCTAAAATTCAAGAGAAATAATACGTTTAATGATACATCTAAAAAGCACAAGTCACGAACTGGTTCCAGCAAACCACAAAACTTCCTGTTTTATTATCACGTGTGAACTCAGTAATGAATGTGAGTCAACGAACAGAACTTGATCATAATGAACACGTGGTCACGGCACCACAGAGTCGAGCGGCGAGGTAAGCGTCCAGATATTCCGTCGGTTACTGTACCAGTTAAGAGACAAGTCCCATTTTTGTTTCGAATTATTGTTATTACGGAAATTGCAATATCTGTGGAAGGACAGACGTGGAAGAGGTGTACTCCTGTGGAGTACACCTTGCTCCTTTACAGACTCATCCATTTACTGCAGACACAAACGCACGAGTATCGTTTGAAAAGCAATCAGAAAAGTTTCAAATAAAACTTGTAGACCGTAATGACATCTACATTTTGTGAGCGCTGGGTCTAGAGCGCCGCTAACAGTTCGAAATAGCGAAAAACAAAAAGACTTCTGTCCTACTTTTGTGGTTCAGTGGTACTCCACACACACTAGAATACAGAACAACTGGTCAGGTAAAATTCATCCTTAGCCAGCTTCAGCCAATCAGGTGGTTCAGTGGTACTCCACACACACTATAATACAGAACAACTGGTCAGGTAAAATGCATCCTTAGCCAGCTTCAGCCAATCAGGCGTCGTTACGCTCCCAGCGAGCGTTAGCCTCAGCTATCTGGCTTAAAGCATCAAAAGACGACTAGGTTTAAGTCAATACAAACTAAGCGTGACTAAGTCCCTTCTTGCAATGAACCGCAGATACCTCCAGTGCAAATGGAAGTGATTGTGATTTGAAAATACGAGGACAGGTGAAACTGGCAGATTTTCTCGTGCTTTGTGCGTGGTAATGAGGGCCCATTCATCGACTTGTTGCATGGAAAATAACTATGGTCAATGTACCCTATCAATCTGTAAGATGTCGGTGTAATGAACTCCGATGTAAATAACACTTATTAATATATTTTAGTCCTAGTATTATACTTAGATGTTTAGTGACGAGAAAAAGTGACGTGAAATGTAACAGAAGTAATTACGTTTCGCCTTCTTCGGGGTTTATAACATCTGCATTGTATACAAGGCTGAAAAGATGCACTCATTTGGAATACACTGACATTCCAAAGACACTGCAAGATTCAAAATATAAAATGAAATCTGTGTACCTTTTTATTATTTGTTGGTCGTAGTCGCAGGCTTTATGTTGTAACTCACGCTGAGTAAGTATCTGAAACGTGAAGCTGTTCCATTCATTGGCCAGTATTTTAATTTTTACGGGGTACTATCGACCAAATGCAGATGTCGGAAGGAGAAAGAGACAGACTCCTTCAACGTATTTCCTTCATTATTCTTTAATATCAGATACTAACAATAAGAGCTGCTGTCCTGTTCCCGCATTCATCACCCTGTGGTTGACGGCCTCTGCGAACCTAACCTGAAAGTTCCAGTCGCAGAGACAACCCAAACTCAAGTCGACGAACAACTGACCTGAATACGGCGTTCCAGGAGCGTCAGCTGTTCTCCCAGAGCGTCCTTGTCCCGTTCCGCCTGCTCTGCCCTGTCCCTGAGGGACGCCACGTCCACGTAGTTCTCCTCCCAACGCGACAGCTCGACGCGTACTTCCTCGGCAGCATTCAGGTTCGAAGGCAGGATCTGCAGATCAAGATGACTGATGCGTCAATCTACAGCTGGAGCACGGACAATGCATTTCGTATTTGGGGTCGGGTGGGTATGTTTCAAAGTGACCAGGGGCCCGGGTTCCGTCCTCTCGAGAAAGATTCCGTAGTTCAGACACTGTTGACGTAATCTGATCAATAGGTGGAAAGGCAGATTCGAAATCTAAGTTTTTCTCTCAGAAGAATAAAACAATGAAAAATGTGAAATTTCTTTCCAAATACATTAAACCGCCTGTTGCATATATTACAATAACCAAAAGTCAGAATCAATCGAACAACAAAATATACAATAGTCTAACAAAATCAAACACGACTAGATACATATTTTGCTTAATTTCAGAATTGTAGAAATGTCCAAAATAACTGAGCACAACTGGCAACAGACTCAGTTATTAACATACTATTATCCCAGATAATTTATTATCAAGTATTATAATCGTGACACGGATCGTAGGAACTTTTTGCAAGGCAGTGACGTATTGCGATATCCGCGAGATGGCACATGATTGATGGATGTCGTCTCTGTCATGTAATCTAATAGACGTACTGCCTCTGTCCGACATAATTTTCTGTTTATTTCTCAAGTTATGCTGCAAAAAAAAAACCGCTTGAACGTAATAAACTTAGTGTAACAGTGTGCTTCAAGAACAAATGATCGCATCGTAAAATGGGCATAAACTGTTTCCTTTGCAGTGAAATTCTCGGTTGTATGCGTTTCCGATGGTGTGTGGCGGTGAATGCTGATCAGCGAAGTCCTTGCCCGGTGCAATGATTTCCTGAATAAATGTTACAAACCTCCAGTGAAATATTTTGTGTAGCTGTGACATGTACTGACAGAAACGCACCTGACATACAAATCGCTAAACTAAGGTAATGTACGCGTGGAACGTGAACATAAAACACAGGCTGAAAAGTGCAACCATAAAATCAACATCGACCTTTTAAAATGAATTTTTTTTATATAATTTCCTGAATTTTGTCGTATGTGAGAATTGTTAAAAAAACACACAAGGGTGCCTACCTACGACGCATTCTAACAAAAGTTAATAAATCTTCAATGATATTAATAGTTTTGCACTCATTTAATCAGCGAATTAAACCACTATATATTTTAATAAAATGTACGAAAAATTGCAGAGAAATGGTCTGGAAAATGTATGTGCTCCTGCGGAGAACATCTTCCCAGTCCTGTGAGATTTAAGGTTCTCACGGCGGCGAGTATGAAAAGACGGCGAAGTGTCACTGATTAGCCACTGCAAGGCAACAGTCATTAATCTATATTGTTTATTGTTTAAATCTTGTCCGTCTAATCACAATAAATTCTTATTAAATGTTAAAATATTACAATAATTAACATTTAAAATATTTAAAATATTAAATGATGTTCTTTATCGAAATATTCGATTTACATTAGACCATCATTTTTCACGACATGTTTCAGTTCCTAAAAGAACTATCTTCAGGTGTATATAATTATATAAAGATTCAAATCAATAATAACTTAAATACAATTTCTTAATTACAATTTCTATATATTATTTTAGCGTACATTTTTTATCAGATGTTTATCAGATATCAAATGATGTTCTTTTTCAGATTTTATTCCATTTTAATAACATATTTAATGTTGTTCTGTATATCATGCTCAATATGACTTTAGTGTGGGTGAACGTTTTTTTTTGTTGTTTTTGTATCAGCCTGTAATGTAAATAATATAAAGACTAAATGAATATTAATAAAATAGAAATAGAAAATAAAATAATATATTGAAATAATGAAATATAATTTTGATCTATAAAGCACATTACGATCAAAATTGCGCCGATGTCATAAGCACTTTATCGCACACGTTTCTGAGTCGTTATTTAAAGCCAGAGTTGCTACATCGTTTTCCGTTTTCTTTGATCAGAATGAATTTTAAAGCCAGAGTTGCTACATCGTTTTGCGTTTTCTTTGATCAGATTGAAAACCAAAGAACTGTCACAAGTTTCCATCTCATTTTAATTTTATGCCTAGTCAATATCGTCTTGCCGGACGCAGAGACAGAGGAATGGGGCAAAAGAGGTCATTCACGCAACAAGAAAGTTGCGCGGAGAATTACGTCGTTATTTTCTAATAAATCGAAATGCGACGACCTAGTTGCGTGATTGTTTGACCTTGTTCCAGGGGGCAGCGTGGTGAATTAAAGGGGCTCCGTCTTTATGGATTACAACGTCCAGCCAAAGAGTTCATAAAACTGAAACCGGGAGCTCTGTTTGCATTGATTACACCGCCAAATTAGGCGCGTAAATATCGTATTTTCAAATTAAACCTAAATTCTAGCGTAATATCATCATCTTATCTCCTTTCGGTCTTCGGAGTTAAAAATTCATTAGCATTTCTAGTTTCCTCATACCCAGCACACTCTAGCTCTCCATGTTGAATTATCCTAAATATACTAGGGCATTTATACAATTCATAAAGTTCCTTATAATGTAATATCTTGTGATGTTGACTTATTTAATACTTTTGGGTCATAATATTTCCCTAGGCACCTTGATTTCAAACAAATCTTGTAATTGACGTTTTCCTTAAAGTAAGTTCGTGGTGAACCTTATTTCAATTTGTTACTTCTGTTCTCAGACATGCGAGTTGCGAGACATTATCAAATAATCTCATAAATATTTCAACTATTTCGACTTTGAACCGATAAATTTTCGGGGCGGTACATTCAGCCAACCTTATGAGTCGACGTCCCGTACAGCGACCAACAACATGACAAACTAAGGCAGCTGGAGGCTAGTGGCAATGTCTCAATTAGGCTCATACTGCCTTTAGCTACAGGGTTTTAGTTTAATATAACAGACAAAAATGTTACGTGAGTGAGAAAAATATAATACGATATTAATTTTCTTCGAAGCATCTCACTCCGCTCCTAGTTCACGTTTCAAATGAGGTTTAGTCGCCTATTAATGCCTCTTTTCGGTAGGCTACGCATGAAGCCCTTACTATTCAATTTTGTATTTCGTCTTAATTGTTTTAATTAGTATTGTTTATTTAAAATTTATTACAGTTAACTCTAAACAGGCAAGGTGCTGCCATAGCTCAGGCAGTTAGACTCTAGACACTAGATGCTAGACTCTGACTTCAGTGCGGACAACCTGTTTCGATTCCGCGTGGACAAAACTGACATTCGATAACCTCTCCTCCGAGTTACAACCAATAACTCGAAGATTTCTGTCCTCTGGGTTGTTGCGCCGTGTAGTCTGGTCGATGCTAACCAACGTTTCAGAGGTCATACCGCCTCCGTCATCAGGGCTTAGTACAGAAGTTTTAATCGGCCACGAGTCTTTCTAGCCTACCATTATCACAATATCCTGTTAACTCACCTTCTTGATGTTGCTGACGTAGAAGCCCGCCTGTTCGAGCTCAGCCTGCAAGTACAGCCTACTCTGTGGGTTTGGCGCCGTCTCGATGAGTGTGTTGAGAAATCTGACACCCGCGGCCTGCAGCTCCGGGCAGCCCCCGGCGCTGCTCAACATGCCTACCAGAAAACGGAACCGCACGGGCTCGCCGAAGCGTAGGCGCAGGGTGGAGAGGGCCTCCGACACAGGCCCGTGCCCACAACCCGGAGGCTCGCACGCCTTCGTCAACAACTGAAAGCAAACGCCCTGTATAATCACTGATGCAGAGGCGAATAATGTGATTCCTGTGTGTCACATACGAGGCAACTAAATACAGTCGAAACAACAAACAAACTGTGACTCGCAGTAGCAGTAACTTTTTTTCTTTATTTTGGGTAATGGACTGAGTTGGGATCAACGGGGAGTCGGACTTCTTCATATCGATTATACCGTCGATCGATAAGTTCATCGACGGGTGAAGTATCTTGTGTGGTAAAAGGAAGAATATCAGAACGTATAGGCGTAGCTGCAGTCACAGAAGAACAAATGGCAGAATTTGAATTTAAGTTTAATTATATGCAACGCTAAGCAGTGGGATCATATCGAAATAGTACATCCAAAATAAAGAATTTACTTTGCAATTTTTCGGTACAAAAAATTTTTTTGTTCTTGTTTTTTAACAATCTTCAAGGCTCATTTACATCTGAAACAATGGCTTACATTTCTGTAAATGATGTACCCACATAAACGTAGTTTGTCTTAAAAACGTCGAGATTCAACGGGGAATAGTTTCTCTCGTACCTTAATCTTTCACCCTATTTCTTCCCTTCCGCATTGTTACTTCGATTCCTCTCGCCCTTGCCTGAGACTGCATCCCCTTACATATGACATCACACAGTCTATTTCAATTTCTTAAAACATACAGAAAAACCTTAACACAACTTCATAATTTAAAGAAACGTGCGTATTAAAACTAATATAGAACTCTGTAATACAAATTTAAGACAGCTGATAAGACAAAACTGTTACAGGACAACAAAAACAATTAATAATATTATCGACAGCTGATAAGACAAAACTGTTACAGAACAACAAAAACAATTAATAATATTAGACAATTAAAATTTCACCGCCTTCTACCACGTTCGAGCTCATCCAGATATCTCTCTCAAGCGAGCACGCCCATGAAATGGCGTGTAGCCTAGCACAGATGTTGTCAGGGCCCGTGAACCCACCTCGAGCGCTATGACACGCGATTTGCTAACGTTGCTCATGATGCAGACTGCCAGGGTGAAGAGGCCGGCCGGAGACGCCGCCAGACGCCTCGCGGCGTCCGGACATCGGAGACAGCTGCGGATGCACTGGAGACAAGAATGTTCGTCTAGCAGGGCTCGCCTCAGTACGGGAGGAGGACATCGCGTCTGTTGGCTCGCCTGACTCAGCTGCACGGCTCGGAGCAGCTCCAGGAGAAGTGTGACTCCGTCCAGAGGGTCGCCGATAAACTCTTGGACAAAGCTGCAAAGGAATAATAGTACACTTTGGTGGACGGTCGCGCCTATACACGACGACACTTTACAGTCGCCACGAGCATCACGAAAAACACAGACACCCCGACATTTAGCAATAAGAGCTCAACACAAAGCGAACAGAATTCAATTAAAAACTAGAATTTATAAAAATCTGGCTGTTTATCGATAGATTTAACGTAATTTCTCTGGTTATCCAAATCACGTCTTTAAGTGTTTTCTGTATTACCGTTGTTTTGATAAAACAGCTGGTGAGTCAGGTTGACTATACGCTTTCTTACATTTCCGTACATCGGAAAACAGGAAGTTCTACCGCCATTACCTTTAGTGCGGCTTTAAAACACGGAGTTGTTATGAAGATGACAAATTCCAACAGACGGACATGCCGATATTAACAATTAATTATGCCCTAATTTTACCCGCTTCATATACAAACCGCAAATAACACATTTTAAATATTGACCGTGTGTTCGTCACTAAACCTCGCTTTTCAGATTTGTTGCTACGCAAGAAGTTCTTTATGAAGCCTACTTCGATACGATAGCATCAAATGAAGTGTAGAGAATTTGTTTTTCCGAATATCTCACGTTTTCATTCTTGATGCAGCCTTGTAACTCTCCAGAACTGAAGTTCATAATCATAGGAGTATAAAACGTAAAGACGGCCAAATTAAGAGGAAGTTGAAGTGCCCCTGGCAGTGTGGTTAAGGTCACTGGACTCAGGCACTAGAACGGGCCACAGGACCCAGGGCTTCGAGTGACATGTCTTGAGCGAGACGGCCCTTGTTATTAGCGGTACCATTCCCAAGTACTGTTAGCGCAATTACCATATATCTGACGCATGAATACCCCTCGTTGTGCATCGATTTATATTATAACGGAAGCATTAGGTGATTCCTGAACAATATCTTCAGGGTTCGGTTCGAAACAAACTTCGTAGCGTTGGCTGTTTGCTTCATTAGTCGATCCAACTACGTCGGTATTCGTGACTGTCAACACATGAAATGTAATAGATGAACCTGGGTTAATTCAAGCGAAATCTCGATTGGTCCACTACAATTTCCTTATCAATTGAATCAATATTTGTACCGTCATGACTCGGTGTCGACAGACACGTTTACAGTCAACTTAACCCTTTAAGACCCAGTGGTAACTATATGTACCACCTGCTTCACACAGTTAATTACTCTGCGTGTTGTATGTATAGGTTTCGGATTGTTCTCAGTGTAAACAGGGATTATTTCCTTAAACAGCGTCAACCAGTTGTCATTTGTAATGGTGAAGTGTTGTTTTTTCTTCGCGGTACGGACTGATTTATTAAATAATATTTAGACGAGCTTCGGCTTCAAAGGGTTAAGGAACAACGTGATGCGGTGGTTCATCCTCCTTTACAGCTACGCCGACCGGACGATAAATACGAAACAAAATCCCCATTAACTGTGTAAATTATATTCCCATTAACGTGCGATTAAATAAATTTAATGACCATCATCTGTTTCTATCGAATGAAATTACTTTCATTGGTCTACTGGCTGCAATTAGTCACGATTTCTAACACGAACGCTTTGACGCCATTGTCCGAGTGTAATTTTCGTTGCAAACAAAAATTGTACTGCACACAGACGTTAATAATTAAACCAGCGTCTTGTAATTCTCTCTCAGATACTGCAGAATGAGACTGCAAAAACGGAGCTTCCCGTGAAGGGAATCTTTGGAAACAGTTTGTCAATAATTCATTTCAAATTATCTTTTTCTTCCTTTCTTTTCATCATCCGTACATCAGCAGGTGCAAAAATTCTTTTCCTAAATAAACGCCAAGTGTTACAAAACTGAAGCTAAAACTGCAGACATTTAAAATAAAAGAATCTACGATGTTCCTTTGTGACCAACTCAAGTGGTCATTTGAGCTCCGCTACATCTGGTAAACTGAATGGATTCCTGTCCATTTGTAGTAGGTACATGAAATTGCCTGACGCGGTGCTCTCAAATTTATTTAGCTCCAAACACTCCGAGTCTCGAAAGTTAATGACGGAACTCGAAAATGAGACACATCCGAACGACGGCAAAGCTGAGAAGAAAGTTGTTTCAAACCAGTAACGCAAAGCCAAATAGGGAGACTTCTTTGGACTGTGAAGTGCTTATTAAATCAACTTAATGTAGCAACAACAAAACGGGATGTACATGTTCTTATTTTGAGATAAAAGTCTCGGAGATTTGATTACAAGCAACGTCAAGACCAATTACTCGAGCCTCATCTGCAATGTGGTACAGTGTGCTCCGCATAAAGCCCAACACATTAACGAATACATGTGCTAACGCAAACTTCTATCTGCATTTACGTCGGATAACGCTTTAAAACCCATTGGTAACTACACGTGCCACACACTTCATTTCGTAGAGATGGGTTTTCGCATGATTTTCAACGTGAACAGTGAATATTTCCTTAAACAACGTTAACAAGTTGACATCTGTAATGGCAATGCGTTGTGTTTTCTTTTCGGTACGGACTGGTCTTAAATATTATTAAGATGAGCTTCGGCTTAGGAAAAAATAATTATACTTTAAGATCATGTCCGACAATTTTAATACAGGCAAAATTTATGCTTAAAATATGCAGTGGCGTTAATCACACACACGAGAGACGAGCGCTGAATAAAGTTTCTTTTTCTCCATCTAAGCCTATGTCTCTTAAGCGATCTCTCCCCTTCAGATTTCCCGACTAAAACTTTGTATACACCCTTCATTTCGAGGATGCGTGTTTCAATGTCCACTCCACCCCATAGTCATCGTTTACGACGTTAGGTGACGACTTCAACGCAGCGTCTTTTAATATTCTTGGAGAAGAAGGCGGAAGATATTAAATCCAACATTTTTCTTTCATAATATGAAGGCTCCAGTTCCATAGCTACTTCTGATTCCCAGAAGCAGGATGATTTTTTTATCTTTCAACATCAGTTTGCATTCTTTGCCCAATGAAAGAAAATTACTATTTTATTTGAAGTAACAATAACCTATTTTTTATTCATAAGTTATTACGCATGCTTGGAAACAGAGTTGAATCCATATTTCTTCTTGTTTGTCTTTTTCCCTATAAACGAAAGAAAATTATGTAACGTGGGAGCATGTCTGCGTCGCCAGAGAACAGGTTCTGACATTCTGTTCTTTGTCAGGACAGGCCGCCGGATACGCCTGAGTTGTATGTTGATTCAGTGCACTGCACTTTAGCTAACCTTGGCTTCAATTCAGCGTTGCACAATCATCTCCTATTTGAATTACATCCAGACTTCCGCAAGTCAAATTATAATTGCAGTTTGCTGTCTTCTGGGCTGTTGCGCCGTGTATCCTAGTATAAGTTACCCGACGTTTCACAGGTCCTTGCTGCCAGCATCGTCGAAGCGATGAGTAAGCAGCTCTGAAACGTCGGTGGACTTATATCAGACTACACGGCGCAAATCCCAGAAGACAGTCGTCTTCAGACTATTCGCCGCCCTGAGAACGTGGAATATCAGAGGTTTGAATTTACGTTTACATTTGCTTTAAATTTTTAGGTTTCAACAGTGGTCAATTGCGGGTTTCTGGATTGTGACACCCTGTATGTTATGTAGGTAGTTACAAACATTTCTATTTGTATCTTCTGTGTTGAAGATAGAGGCAGTATGTTCCTCCGCAACGTTGGAATCTGCCCACAAGACGTCACAACGAAGAAAATAAATATCGAAATATTCAAGGTCACGAAAACCTCGAGTCAAATTTCACGCGTTCTTACCTCGGGAAGGCGAGCCTGAGATCTGCCTTCAGCTTCCCCAAGAGTTCGGTGACGGTGGAGAACTGCCTGAGGCTCATCTCCTCGCCGTGGGGTGTGGTGGGTGTGAGGATCGGGTTCCTGTAGTCCTTGCTGCTCTGTCCAGGAACCGGCTGTTGGAGGTTGTGCGCGCTCTTAAGCGTCGCGTCGGCAGATTCCGCCTGTACGGCGGACCCCAGGCCATACAGTTGAGCGCTGCTACCTGACCGGCGCCCCCACTTGCGTAGGGACATGGCGTAGTCCTCTGGGTTGTACACGGGTGGCCGCTGCTGTTCCTGGAACACGAAGGGAAGACTGAATAAAATCAAATGCACACAACACGTTACACGAACATCGAAAGAGCGCTTAATATATCAATAAACCCTTATCGAAACGTTGGAAATCCTTATTAAAAAAGAGCGCTTAATATATCAATAAACCCGTATCGAAACGTTGGAAATCCTTACTAAACGCCCTCATGATAGAGGCAGTAAGCACCTCTAAAACGTCGGTAAATTTCTACGACACGAAACGGCGAACATCCCAGACGACAGTCATCTTCGGACATGGATGTTCCGGAACAGAAAAGCGACCTCGCCTTCGACCACGATCAGCATACACCCTTGAAAAAATACATCGACGAGAATGTTGAATCTGTTAAGTAACGGCCAGTATTTCAAGTCTGACCTGATATTTAGAAGTAGACCACAGCTTGGAAAGCTGACGTCTTTGCCCGCAAAGGTTGCCTTTAGCTACTGGTAATGGTCTAGAAACGCAGTCACCTTCCTGTCCAGCCTCTCAAACTACTTCTGCAGACCATCCATGTGATGGACAGACGCGACTCCAGTTTGCTGAGACACTGGCACATAAACAATCAATAATCTTACAATAAACATGTATATGACACAACAATATATTACACCAGGATCACCTTAAACTATGACCTAAATTTTCTTCGTAACAAAATAAGTCGTTTGAGAAATGCATGTCTGAACTCCGGGGAAATTCTTGCAAATCACACTTTATACGTGTTACTACTGCAGACCTAAGACACGTCCAGTCAGTTCGTCCCGCGTTACCCCTTTGAAGAAGCCGAGTGGTAATCATCTGTACCAGCTATTTTTACAATCAGTAACACTGCATATCGTACTAATGGTTTTCGCATTATTCTCACTGCAAATGGTGATCATGTCCTTAATCAGCGTCAATCAGTTGATCTCTATAATGGTGAAGTGTTGTGTTTATGAATTTTTAAATATTATTTAGACGAGCGTCGACTTCAAAATGGTTAATCGAGTCTGTGAAGTAAAAAATGTTGGCACAGAACCTTGGCCATCGGTCACTAATATCTATATAAGATACACAGATAATTACTGGTCCTGTAAACCTGATGTTATACAATTAATAATGCACACGCTGCATGCAAATTTTAAATCGTAAATTTACATATAGGTTGAAGTTTCTTTTCCCCTAGATGTTATCTGTGTTTTAAAATGCAAGATTGTTTATCGTGTTGCAATGACGCTAAAACTGTCTTTGTATCAATCTGCCTGTCTCTCTCTCTCACACACCTAGGTCGTGCTATTCTATAATGTTAGCTGGTCAACGACTTGTGTAGTAGCTGCTAGCTGCTTCTATAGTACGATGACGGGGGAGGTAGAACTTCTGTAGCTAAGGAACCATGACACATACGAAATTTACTAGAACCTTCAACCGTGAACATGGCAGATTTACTACAAGAAAATGCTTTCAAAACTCGTATTCATCATTAAGTATTGTATAGAGGCAAGAATGCTTTTGTAATGATTTGCTTACTTCGATCATTGAAACACGAAGTTAAATTCTGCTACTCCTTCAGATGTCGTTGAATACGCCCTGCGGCGGCTTCATTGAATGATTAGCAAAATTTATTCTGAAATTATAAGTAGTTTTAGGCACTAAGATTGATTCACCGCAAGGAATCTGCCTACACAGGACAACGAGCAGGATTCGACGTTTCCTTAAGATCCATTTTAATATTATTCTCCCACCAACGCTAAGTTCTCCCAAGTGGCATATTTCCTTCAGGTTCCTTTACCAAAATTTTGTACACATTTGTTGTCTCTTAAATGCGTCCTGCGTACCCCGATCATCTCATTCTCCAGGATTTCTCAAACTCTTCTCAAAGACCTCTACAGAACATCTACATGACTTTGAAACACTTCACTAGGATTTCTCCAGGACTTCTTCAGAATTTCTCCAGCACTTCTCCAGCAATTGTCCAGGATATATACGTCCATCAGTTACCACGATAGGAATTCTCCAGGAAATTGATGAACCATTTCTAAAACCACAACTTTAACTAGCCTAACTTAACACATGACCTAACCTAACACAACCTAACCCAACCTAACATAACCTAACCCAACCCAATCTAACCGAACCTATCATTCTCAAGTAGCCCCATCTTTTGGAATGCATTTGCCTTGACTTATGAATGAACTTTATCTATAAGTGGCTTCAAACTAACAGGATTATGGTCACTCAGTTTAATAAAGTTAGGTAGATACGAAAATGAGAAAAATTATTCTTGAATTGAGCTTCAAAAATTTAAAGCCCCATACTCCTCAAAACCTTGGACTTATCTTCTTATGATCTTGAGGTGACGTTGACCTATCCATGTCCTGAAACTGACAAGATTATAGTCATTCAGGTTCCTACAGATCGGCAGAAATATGCGTTTAAAAAATGAACTTAGAATGACCTTGAGAACTTTAAAAGTCTCTATTCGGAAAACCCACGGACTTATATTGTCATGACTGTGACATGACGATGACCTGTCCGTGACCTCAAACTGACAAGGGTATTGTCACTTAGAATCCTACAGATCGGCTGAAATATGCGTTTGAAATAATGAACTTCGAATGACCTCGAGAAATTTAAAAGCCTCTATTCGGAAAACCCACGGACTGATATTGTCGTGACTATTACATGACAGTGGCCTGTGCGTGACCTCAAACTAACATGAGTATTGACATTCAGATCCCTACAGATCGGTAGGAAAATGCGTTTGAAAAAAAAACTTTCGAAATACCTTGAAAATTTTCAAGGCCTCTACTCGGAAAACCCCTGCACTTATTGTCGTGTCCAGGGCTGTGGAGTCGGTACTAAAATCTCCGACTCCGACTCCTTCATAAATGCTCAATATGTATTAATAAGGGTAGACCTACTAAAATGGTACGTGGCACCATAAGAGATTTAATCACCACTACGTGAATCATCAGTCCACTTTTTAGACTTATAACCTATATTTAATTATACGTGTAATAGTTATTGCAGAAATCGGTTGATTTCTAGACATTTTGTATTCTTAAGGTACCGGAGCCAAAGTTACAGAGCATTATTCCCACACATTTTGGCTCAACGCGTCGTTGAATCTCCCTAAGCGTTAGGCCACCGGCGGCTCACACGGTATAGAAGGTGTTCTTAAGAATTTATATCGAGGTCGGTACATTTTTACCGACTCGACTCCAGAGTCCAGGCGTAACTTATTTTTGAAATGCATCTCGTTTTTGTAGGAAACATGAAAACCGATCAGAAATATGTGGTTAGTACCCTGGAGACTTAAGACTCGTCTCTGGGAAGATTAATTTTAAGTTTCGACGCTAAACTCCTTATAATTCTCGCGTCAAGCCGTAGAACATTCAAGAAATATTAATATTATACAGTATATTAACTGATCCTGCCATACAAGTAGCAGTGAAATACAAAAGTCTACAGATATTTCACTATGCAGTACACATACTTTCTAAACAGATTCTTTGCGATTATGTGCACTACGTATTCCACTGGCTTCGATGTTCATTTATCACAGATTCAAAGCCACTGCTGCAGTCCTGAACATATTACATACAACCTGTCATACATAGTTATAAAATAGTTAATCATATCAAAAAGAAATTTTAGAATTGAGCTGTATATCCAAATGAGATATATATTTTACACCGCGCGGCAATTCTATAAGCCATCTTTTACAAAATCGATTAACTTCAATTTCAGTTTCATTAAAACAAGTTTTGAATTCACTGAAGAAATATAAAATTCATCGGACTATTTTAAGAGTCGACATACTCAGTATCAAATTTCACTAAAACCTTCCAAACGTTTTAGAGATGAATCACAAGACAGCGGAGAGTCAACTTTGGCTTCGTACCTTTGTTTACGAAGTGCGATCGAAAGGTTTCCAGACTGCGCGTATAAAAACCCGTACACTTATCTCAGGTATTAAATTCATCCATCACCCTCGAAGTAGTTCCCCTGGGAGTGAACACAACGATCCCAGATGGTGCTTGACAGGCTGACAAAGAAAGATTTCCAGGGATGCTTCCAGGCTTGGCAGCGGCGCTGGGATCGTTGTGTTCACTCCCAGCGGAACTACTTCGGGGGTGATGGATGAATTTAATACCTGAGATAAGAGTACGGGTTTTTATACGCGCAGTCTTGAAACTTTCCGATCGCACCTCGTATAAGTACAAATAACGCACACATAATCAAGTTTCTATATATGGTGCCACAGAAAACTAAATCGACTGGCACTTATTCTTAGCTAATGACACAAATAAAATCTCTGAAGTATATGCCACTCACTTGGTTAAATGAACCGACGTTACAAGTTTTAAAAATTTCCTAGTTTTTATCCACTATAAGGAAGAAATTCCAGATAGTATTTATGTTAAGAATGAAACCTGAAAGACAAGTATTGAAGTAATCCGCGTTTTCGCTCGCTACTTCTCAAATGGTTTCGAAAAGAACAAGAAAGTCAATTACTCTTCAGTCTCTGCGATATCTACAGGTCGGCAGTCAGAATTAGACGGATGAGACAAAAGAAAATCACTATACTCTCATACTCTTTAAAGGATATTCTCAGACATTCATTTAAGTCTGACTGAAGAATGTAACATATTGTCTCAAGGGGCCTTACACGTTCGGTTTTTACTCAGTCTAAACTGCACAGACGAGAAATACGCAGTTAAAATTACGTCTGGACAGAAATTAAAAAAAAAAAATCAGTACAAAATTTATTTTCCTTACAAATCTTTTTATCTTTTTTCGACTAACGTTCCATCCCTCTCTTTGTTTCTTTTCTGCTCTGTTCAAAACAGAATTTATTTATTAAGCCACGCATACAGGTATCCCAAGGGGCCATCTAAACACCTTTGCCTGTCATAGCAATTCGTTACGGAGTGAAGAGCCAAGTCTCAACACTACAACCGTGTAATCTGAAGATGCCGGAACTGCTTTAGCAGAATTAAACTTG